ATGTTTGTAATCTCGAATGCTTTATATGAACAAACAAACAAACAAACATTAATTAATACTGAAAGGACGATTCAGCCTTGCACACTTGGCGTATTAAGATGAATCTATTATCTGCTGTCAGGATACGATTAAAGCTGATTTTCAGTGGTGTAGCTTAGTCATTCAATCCAGGTATTCACGACCGCATCGATTGTTATCGTCTACGTTCTTGTCTAAATGCGAGCGAAAATTTAACAATCATGTTGTAATTAATTTCAGAATTATTTACCGGAAATTTTTTTTATAGAGATGAACCTAAATGTAAAACGATTACGGTTATCTACATTAAATTTAGTCCCTTCGTTGAACCATTCGCAACATCGAAGTCAATCCGACGGATTGTACTTAGAATGCATTTGGACAATTTCAGCTTTTTACAAAACAAGGTTTGACCGAGACGTTACGAATGATAGAACAATTTTTTTTTCATTCGTATCCTCTCGGTCATTACTATGGCAAATCTAAAAACAACTAAGATTGCTTTTCTTAACTTGGTGAAAAATTTTCTGCGAACAAGATGTGTTATTTTTCTGAATAGTAATGAGAAAAATTTTTGTCACACAGAAAAGTTGAGGTAGTTTCGAATGTCTTTGCACTAGCTTAATACTGTAGTCATACTTCCTTAAATTTTGGTGAAATCCAGCTTGGGTTACACCTACCGTACCAATCGAAACATGTTAGGCCTTTTCCACCATGTTCAGAAACAAATCCGGTTGTAATTTGCCGCCATTTAGAACTTTATTTGGAATTAGTTTCGTTTACATGGCAGGGCCGGATTGTGGGTGTGGTTTCAAGGGTTTCCGTCAATCCCCTCCTGGCTAAATATAAAATGCGCGCGCACACACACACACATACACACACAAGTACAATCACTTTTCACTTGAAATTTGACTATCATTTTATAAGGTAATATGGACACTTTGAGTAAATATACATAATTTTGCTTTAGTGCCCATTCGCTGTAAGTCAGGGTCCTTTTGAAATTTTGGAATCCACCCACACCCGCACTCACACAAACACACACAGTTGACCTGGCCTGTCACTGCATGGTACAATATGGCAGAGGAATGAAAAAAGTCACAATTGAAACATTTTCAACCTATTAAGTTGGCATATATGTGGATCGCTCCAATAGGCGAATACCAAACCCTTCAAGGGATCGCGAGTGGCCGAGTGGTCTAAGGTGCTCGCCTTTACAGATCATTGATATTTCACTCCTGTCCGCGTGGGTTTAAGTCTTAGTTCGAACAATTTATGTATATAGAAAGCTTTTAAGTGGCATTACGTGTGTCGGTGGTTCTACCCGAAGTTTTCACAGGCTCTTATTCCAACGAATAAGACTGTATAGTTCAATATGTGTCGAGAAATGGCATTAAAGCCACAAATTACGAACATCCACACCCATCAAAGTTAATTTTATTCCTTCAACTAGAGATATTTTTCGACTTGACGAACAGTGCCGAGTGATGTTACGATTGCCACTGCATCTACCCTGGTTACACGTCTACAGTAGGCATACAAGATAAGGCATGATTTTATTGTTTCTTTGGCAGAGGTGCTATTGCTCAAAATAAGATAATTCTATTTTACAAAATTATATTAGAATGAGTGGCTTCTTGAGTCAATAATAAAAAGTATACATACCTTATGTTTTTGTATGTAATAACTGTTGAACTGTTATTAACTGTGTAGTGCGCAACGGGATGGAATGGGAAGTAACGGTATATCTGAATCTATACCAATTGCAATTGGCTGGACGGTAGTTACGGTACTTAATAATGATAGAGGTTAGAGCCATAATGCAATAGTGTAATGGTACAAAAGTTTGCAGAACCATCTATCTGTAGGATATTTCACAGTTCATTCTTTCGTGGTCATCGCGATACGTAAACAATATGATTGACGTATGGAGTAGCCTGCCAATAAACTAGGCACCTAGCGAGAAATACAAAAGTAAACGATACAGATTTGATGGAGAAAATAGAACTCAGAATGGAAATAGCAAAGCCAATGTAAATGTCAACATAAGCCCCCAGTTTGTGATGCAGAGTGCCAAAATCACGGTTGGTATAGCCATTAAAATTGTACTAGATTATCATATAACACTGTGCCAATTGCTCTGTTACATGACGGCTCAATGAGAAAGAAAACGAAGTTCGGATTTAGTAACTTGCTTGAAAGCTAGCTTAAAGCCATCCTTTTTAAGTCTGTTTATATTAGGGATTGGAAGTCTGCAACATGATTAAATGATGAATGAAGGTACTGCGTATGCTGGTCATTTAGTGAGGACTGTGGTAAATATTTCTAAAGAAGTATGGGAAAAAAATTGCTGGATTCTTCACAAACATTGAAGATCACAAGATACTTCATGCAGTGCAATTGAATAGCAATTAAGACTTAATGAGTAATCGAAAGGAAGCAGCAACTTCGATCTTATTTCACGTACTGCATGCCACTGCATGCATGCAGGTATTGGGAGCAGTCCCCAGGTGAAATCAAATTCCCCGACATAGACGCTTTGTGTTTCCGGAAACTTACTTGGCACACTTTTTGCATACAAAGGAAATGGTGTTTACGAACTGGATCGGTGACATATACGAGTGGTATTTGGTGTATCATATATTTATCCATATCATATGCCAGTCAGAACAGTTTGTTGTATGTCAACAATAACAGCAGCTAATGTATTGACAAGCTGCGATTCAAGCGTTTGGTGTCAGAGAAAAGACAAGTTCTGATTTAAGCGCCTATTGTCATAGAAAGACAAGTTGAGATTCAAGCTTCTGGTGTCAAAGACAAGTTGTGATTCAAGCGTCTGATGTCAGAGAAAAATCCATAATTAAGACAGGAGCAGACAATAAGTGACAATAATACAAATCTCTTTTTCTTGGTCGAAGTGATGAAGACCATAGCGAGTGTCGGGACTCAACACCAACTCGTTAGTAAGGGTGATTTAAAATGGCGACCTTTGAATTAAGTCATAGTTCTTCCATATTAACTGTGACTATTTGACTAGGCTAAAAATAAAATTACAAATATGTGTATATTTAGCGTGTACAACGTAAACTTTCGTTGTCCAAATTCTTCTCAAAACTGAATATGATTGGCAATTTGCAACATATTAAGAAGGTAATAAAAAATACTTCGCTATGTACGAATACTTCCTTTGCAATCATCTTTAGTTTCCAACATACTGCGTACGTTAAAACTTAAGTATGAAACTCGTACTTAGTGAATACCGTTACAAAAGTGTTGAAATTTCAATGGATTCGTTAGGTTGTAGAAGCAAAATAATCAAACTCAAATTCACGCCGCCAAAATTAAAAACATAATTTGTAAAAAAAAATCGTTTGACAGCTGTTAAATTTTCAATAAAGTAAAAACCAAAAATGATAACTTAATTCTGAAATGTTGGTAATTCTACCAGTATTAAAAATGAAGTATCCAATAAATATTACTGCCAATAAATATTACTACATTTTGAACATGGGGTTTAGCTTATACGCACAATATATTTCGGGGGCCCGATTTACTGAGTGGTCTAAAGAGCTCACCGTTACTGATCGCTGCCATCTCACCTCTGCGTGGGTTCGTGTCTCGGATTCGGCCAATGTGGGTATGTGAAAAAGCTTGCCAGTAGCTTTTCGTGGGTTGGTGGTTCTTTTGGGGATTTTCCTGGGTTCTTCCTCCACCATTTATATTGGCTGCCATGTAAAGCCTATCTTGTGCTAAAAATGGCGTTAAACAGTATAACAATAACAATAACAACAACAATTACAACTATAACAACAACAATACATTTCATGAATAAAAAGCTGGGTGTTTCTTTACAAGACCACTAATCAGTCATACGCCATGAATGAAACCAAGACTAATTTTCTTCTTGAAGTCGTCTCAATATTTGACTGGTATTACCCATTTCCATCATGCGTGAGTAAAAATGAAACATTAGATGTATATTGTATCTGAGACCTATCTCGGTACTTATCAGGTGTATTAAAATAAAACTGTTATTTGCCCCTATCAACACTTTAATGTTGACATCACTGAAAACAGCCCGCTGCGCAGGCTTAAGTTGTTAGAGCATCCGCCTCAGAACGTGAGGTTGCGGGTTCGAACCCCGGCTGATTCATAGCAAATTATTATGAAAATGGTAATAGCAGCTGCCTCACCTGGCGCTCAGGATTAAGAGGTTAGTGTTAGGACTGGCCGGCCTGGTGTCAGAAAAATGTGACTGGGTGGGACTTCATGCTACATGTCTACGGCATGATGCCGCAGTGCTAGACATTACTATGAACTGCCACACTGCTGCAGAAATCGTGCTGTATTTTCTCTGATGTATTGGAGCTGGTAAGAAAAAAAAAAAGAAAAAAAAACTGGCCATCTTATCTTATATGCTAAGTTAAGCGTCTTAGACACGGCAAACCTTGACAAAACATAATTTATTATTTACGTTAAAAGAAAAGCACAATATTTTTTGGAGGGGGGTCATTTTGTAATGATATATTTTACCTCTCTCTCTCTCTCTCTCTCTCTCTCTCTCTCTCTCTCTCTCTCTCTCTCTCTCTCTCTCTCTCTCTCTCTCTCTCTCTCTCTCTCTCTCTCTCTCTCCATGAATCTATTCTATTGCGAACTCCATTTACAAAGAACCCCAGGAGACCTGGTAAAAGTTTTTGACCATAATTAGTGCTTCGTTTGTACAGTAATGCAATGAATCTGGATTTGTCATATTTTCATGCTGTCGGACATTCCTAATGCCTTCATAAGTAAGAATTGGAGGCGAGAGAAATCGGGAGGTATTTTTAATTATTTTGTCAAGATGTCGAGTTCTTTGATGCTATCATAAAACCAGAAGCCGTTGGAAATATTTATTTTGTGTTTCCATGGAAATCGTTCCATTGATGTTTCTTTTTCCATCATATGCTATAATTGTATTTTCTTCATATCTAAAAACCGTTCCAGTGGCTTAGTGGTTAAAGCGTCCGCCTCAGATGCGGGACGTCGCGGGTTCGAATCGCAGCCGAGTCATGCCAAAGACTTATAGAAATGGTACTAACTAGGCGCTCAGCATTAAGAGGTTAGTGTTAGGACTGGTCAATCTGATGTCAGGATAATGTGACTTGGTGGGACATCAGGCCACATGTCTGCGGCATGATGCCCCAGTGCTAGACATCACTATAAACTGTCACACTGCAGACATCGTAGCGACATGATAAAGCTACGTTAAAAATATAACACACACACACACACACACACACACACACACTTTATCCAAATAATAATAAAAATGTTTTCCAGTAGAAGAAACAACTTATTATCTACACATGTTTTAAAGAATTCCCAAGAAGTATCCATTGAGGTTAGTGTCAATTTGCCGCTATCCACCCATGCTGGTGTCAAATTCCCTTTATCCATTTAGGTTGATGTCAAACTGCCACTATCCAGCCAGGTTGATGTCAAACTCCCATTATTCATCCAGACTGGTGTCAAGTTATAGAGGCACATGCTCTGTCGAGTTAGTACTAGGGTATCGTTTTGAAGAGTGTCAATTGTCATATTTTACTTACGGATATACTTAGAGGAACGTGTAGTGTTTATATGAGAATGAAAACAGATTTACGTCATTACCGCAGCATACACAGCCACGATATGTGACCTTTTTTTAGCGTCGCTAGTAAACGTACTACAGGTAAAGTCGGTCACCCTGACCAATATTTCATACTTGAATGGAATTCTGAATTGTCTAATCTACGTCCATTATTTGGTCACTACTGCATACCGTTGCATTTCATTTATTAAAACATTCCTCATAGCACCTTCCCACACATAAAGTTCCTAAAGTTAATGCTTATGAATGCATGTTTGGGTATACGCCTTGCTATTGTCGGTAATTGACGTAAAAGTTTCTAAAGTAAATGTATATGAATGCATGTTCGGGTATATACGCCTCGCTAATATCAGTAATTGATGCAAATTTTCTTCTTCCTAAACACACTGTCGGTTGATGTTTAGTAAATTACGATACTTAGTATATGAATATATACTCTGACGATTGATAGACTTCTCAATCTTACTCATTTGAAAGACTTAATTTTGAAATGTATACTTGTATACCTGTATTTTGCAAACTTTTCAAGTAAATGTTGGAAGAATATTCTTTTAAAAAGTGTATTATTTAAAAAAGAACTCTAGGGAAAATATCATCATTTGAAGATAGTTAAAATAAATTTGCTTTCTTCTACATGACAGTAACATTGTGGTGAGAAACTATGTTACAGACCATCATATAGACTATACTGTTCAATTAACTATAACATTTTTCTTGCAGTTTCCATGTAAGCGGAACTTTAGTATATTAATAAATATTCGTGACTACTTGATATCAATTTATGATTATCATATCATAAAGACAATTTACGTAAATACTGACATATCATTAAGTCTTTTAGATTCCTCATGAAAAAACAATGTCCTTAAATACTACAAAGTTATTGTACTTAAGAAATTGAACTTCAGACAATATCACTTCATTACCTTTGACGTAACGAAAAACCTCAGCTGTGTCCGATGCTAATTTATCTTATCTTGCAGAAAATATTCTATTCAAACAATAACTTCCTGAAAGTACAGCTGGATGTTGGCGCACGCCAATCTCTCATGCTATGTGCAGTAACTATAACGATTTCTGAGAATTTAATCATGGGTTTCTATATTTAGTGAACATGTTTTCCATATTAATGTTTTCCTGAGGAAATTATGCCGTCACAATTAAGAGGCTGTCATTAAATAAACTTCTTTTTGAGACAGTAACATTTTAATCTGGCGGGTAGCTCGTTAGGACTACAAAGACTATGAAATGACTAAATAAATATTGTTCTTGAATGCTAAAGAAATTACAAGTGCGAAGGAAGGACACTGGATTACAAGGCGCCATTTTGTGTGAAGTTTTTTAAAAATATGGAAGGGAAAATTATTTCTAATCTGCCTTCATTTGACACTTTGTGTACTGGATAATTCCCAACAGAGCAATTTGTCACATCTCTTTAGCAATGTTCGACGCATAAACTAGAGGGAATTCAGATGTTAATTCCACTGTATAGTAAGATTCTGTGGAATATCTCGGATGACTTCTTTTCTCTTGCAAAATCGATTTGAAACAAATGCATCATAAGAGAGATGACGTGGGAATCAATTGTTAATGTGCTTTCCTGAATGGATTTATTTAGCCATTGGTGTAGCAAATTAATTACACGTCAATCCATTAGTTTCTACTTCTTGTCCAGTAATTCTATCTTGCAAAACGTGGTATGTACTTGCTCGGTATGTAATTGTTCATCAATCTGAAGTAAACACGTACACTGCTAATCGTTCCTTTGAAAACACTTGATGTTTTATGTATGTTTTTTGTTTGTCCATTGATACTTTTGTTTTGTTTCTGACCCTGCCAGATACCTGTAAATCATAAGCAACAATACTTAAAGAGTATGGTATGTGTAGTACCCTGTCTCGCTTTATTTAAAAATGCCTATCTGTAGGAAGAAAAAAAAAAGATTATCCCGTATTGTGCTAATTGTCGTCGTTCAGAAGAGGATTGCGTTTAGCACACTGTCAAACTATGATGCACCTGCAGCTATGCCAACCAGTACCGATAACGATACTTAAACGTACTGGTGTCAGCATAAATAAAAAAAAATGGTAGTCTTTTATGGCACTTTAGATACATTGTTGGGAACATTTTGCAAAGGAAGCGGAGTCCTTTACCAACGAAAACATTAGGAAACCGATCCAGTTTTCCTGGGAGGGTGCCAGTTGCATTACGAGTCTTACTCTCAATCAGATAGCTACAGAGGCCCCAAAACGGTTGAATAAAGGAGTCTCAGAAACGCACTTAACCGATTTCTGTCTTTTTTTTTGGTATTCATATAAAGAAAAGGATTATGCTGTTGCTGGAGATGATCATATGGAATGTCTACAAATTATTCTTTTGATCCTTTCCTTCCGTAATAATGAATTTCTTAATTTTTGCCTTTAAGACCAGTTATCATCTGACCACCACGCAATTAAACTGACCTTGACCACATTTTCAGAAATATTTCCGAGACCTATGGACAGTTTCCATACGCATAATAATTAGGCATACAGAGCACACGAAACAACATACTCCAATCAGTTGTTTTATGTTAGAAAACTTTTTATTTTTTACTTGATTCCCGTGTATTTATTACAACGCAATGAGCAACGGTATTTCACGCGCTACTCAAATGTTCACCTAACATTCCACGTACACGAATATTGTTTTACAAAGCTGTTATTTTGTTCAATATGAAATCGAGAATTACGCATATATGAAAGCATTTTGCAAAAGAACATGTTGATTTATACAGTTTTCAATGATAAATTATTTTGCGTACCACCCTAACCCCAAACCCTATTCTTTCAAATATACCAAGTACTTGGTTGTCGGACATTCGTTTTTTATATACGATATATTCTCTTCCATCGAAAGAGTATTATATATTTACCGTTTTGCATGGTCTTTCAGTTTTTGCAATAGTCATTAATGCATATATTTTATAATTTTATGTTCAAGATATTGGGGGATTCAATATTGTTTCAAATTGCTAAGGAACCAACATAATGTTAACTATCTTGAATAATATAATTCTGCACATATTATTGATTTCTTTCTCTTGCTGATTTGCCCCACAAATTCATTTTAATTTTGATCTAATATGATATCTCAGAACTTAATCATCTCTATATTATTTTCAAGAAAGGGTGACGCTTCCTCATACATTTTACTTCTTTCCTCACAAGAAGCCAAGCAGGTGACGATTTTCAAGCTACGATCCTTTATTTGCCTGCATATGTTTAAGGATGATTTGTTAAGTATAGTGTGTGTGTGTGTGTGTGTGTGTGTGTGTGTGTGTGTGTGTGTGTGTGTATTTTAAGAATATCCTTTGTGTGTTTCTGTCTTGATGCCACCGACTCTGTTACACAGTCGTTTGAAAACAAAGTCATCCTAAAGACAAAAAAAAGAAGAAAAGAAGAACTTCCGAAATTCACAAGGCACACCATTTACTCTCGATTTAAAAAAAAAAACAAGAAGGGTATAACCAAAGTTAAAAACATTGATTTTTTTTTTCAAAGAAAACCTTGTACGCAAGAAAATGAATTCGACAGTAATCTTGTAAACGACTGGTTCGAGGAAACGAGAACGTGTGTTTTTAAAGATGTGTCTTTGTGCCTGCGTCGGTCCTAAACTACATTTCATCAATATCGATGAATAAAATAGGACCATAAATACACATATAAAACAAAACAAATACACGTTTCCTCTGAACGTGGAAGATACTAGAGTAAAGGGACGTAAAGATCAGGTTAATTTATTCGTATTATAATTGTACAGCTAAAAATAAAAAAACCAAGGCATATACAACTTAATTTTAGAGAACTGTTGGAGTCAGGAAACAGCATGAATAAGGGGTCCTTTGAAAAATTTGGAATGTTAGTGACGCGCATTAATAAAACTTTTAAACTGGTGAAAATTAGAAAGGAGTTAGACACGATCTCGAAAACGAAACTAAAGATTAGGCAGGCGAACGCAGCTAACAAACTTTTAACCATCCGAGTGCAACAACTGATACAGAGGACCCCGATATTGACTGGTCAGTGGAGGATCGAAGATGTAGTATGTACCTACATGTTGATTTTCAACATTTATGTTTTTATTAGTTTTCTGACAAAGACGTGTGGTGTTTTACTACTTATCAACAGACAATTTACCATGGAAACGATACAAATTTGGAGTGTAAAAGTTTATTTACTGGATCCGATTGTCTGGGATGGAATGGGAAGCATATTTCACGTCTAACCGTTGCATGAAAACGTGACCCTTTTAGAAACGAATGAATGCGTTCAAAAATAAATATGAATATTACCTGCCCAAACTCCTCATATGTAAATAAAAGAATGAACACAAGTAAATAAAATTAAGAAACATCAGGCAAGATCATTTCTCAGGCGAC